CCAGAGGTTTTATTACGATGGARGTGCTGGTTTTTGGAYGGTAGGCATCATTCCAATAGGTCATTACACATCAGTCGCTGATGTAATTAGTGCCAYTGATAAGGTCATCGGAGACGATGGAGTAACAGATATTTCTCTCAAACTGGATACTCGGTCACAGAAAGTTACCGTGGTATTGGGTACTGKAAGAAGGCTCAGTTTCGAGAATGATTTAGGATCGATGTTAGGATTCGACAGTGATATAATCCTAGCCAAGACTACAGAAGCTCCCTTCACGAGTGATTTGAATATTGGCCTTCAATCACTGTTTGTCTATTTGAATACATTAGAAAGTCGGATAGTTGGTGACGTCAGAGCCYCTCTATTACGCCTTGTTCCTGCACAGGGTAAAGATGGAGAGATCATTACGATCGACTATGACAATYCCCAATATCTGCCTCTGGCCATGAGAGAATTTGAGACTAGAAATACTTATAACGGACGACACGGGGAAAAAGATTCCATTTGAACGTGGACGCKTGGTGATAACATTGAGTTCAGACTTCGTCGAGCACCCTATTTTTAGTAAGATGAGAACMCAGCAAGAAGGACACATGATGGTGTTTCACGGTGAACCTTTTAAGAGGGGATATGGACTGGGTTCTYTTTTCCAATCCCTTGCGAGAAAAGCCATACCATTATTAAAAGAGGGGGCAAAGACTGCTGGGAAAGCAGCCCTGACCACARGAGTAAATATTGGAAAAGACGTTTTAGCCGGGAATAATCTGAAAGATTCTGCCAATGCGAGGTTACAGCAGAYGGCGCAGACTATGAAAAACCAGGCTTTCAATCAGATCGCCTCTCAAGTTGGAAACGGCAGATCGAGACAGAGAAGAGGTTTAAAAAGAAAGACACCAAGGAAAAAGCTCATTCTACCGTAAACCGGCAGAGTGAAAAGAGCTAAGATAGTTTTCGCAAACAAAGACATTTTCGAACCTTGAAATGGCTTTCATTCACCCACACTCTACCCCATGTGCTAAAAGTGAACTGGATTTGTTCTCCGTACCACCAACTCCAGTCGCTATAGACAAGAGTCAGTGGATTGAATATCAACCCATATCGACCATTACTTCTTCAGCACCTATAGTTTCAAATTGCGGGGTCGGAGAATTATTTAGATCTAGCAAAGACAATGATTTTCATCAAAGTGAAAATCACCAAGGCTAATAACTCGAATCTCACAACTGATGAAAAAGTAGCACCTGTCAACAACTTTTTGCAAAGTCTGTTCAAGCAAGTCGATGTGTTTCTCAATGGCATTCAAGTCACACAGTYGACCRGAACGYATAGTTACAAAAGCATGTCATAAACCCTTTTGAATTACGGTCCTGCARCTAAAAAGTCCCATCTTACAGCAGGTCTTTATTACAAAGATACTGCTGGAGCTATGGAAGAAAATGACCCGACAACAGCTGGAGCGAATACCGGGCTCAGTTCTCGCTATTCATTTACTGAAAAAAGCTACATTGTGGATCTATGGGGACCCCTTCGCTGTGACATGCTGCTCAG